ACACATCCGTTTGTTCTTCTTGCTTTGCTCGATTTGGACCTCTTTAGCACTCTTAATGCGCTTTGCTCGAATAGCAAAAAGATTACAAAACCATGAATCAGAATCCAGCTCATAATCAGCTAATACCTCATGCCATTGTTTTTCCCACTCTTCAGGCTGGAGGTAATGATTCCAAATCACAGAGTTTAGCCTTGTCAAGAAGACCTTATCTTTGGCAAGTTCATTGTCGACTTTGGCCGTAATCTTGTTCGTAATATGCCACATACAGAGACAATGGATTGTATTTGGGAATATTTCTGGGATAGCAATAGCCATGGAAGCATCTTGGTCAGTGATTATGCATTGCGGAGCATGACCCATAGCATCAAGAAAGCAATTGAACAACCACCTCTATGAAGGAACATCTTCTCTGCGCAGGAGACCAGCTGCAAAAGTAACGCATCTGTGGTGGTTATCTACACCAGTGAACAGTGTAAAAACCATTTTGTACCTACATCACGGGTAACAGACCAATACCAAACAAGTGCGTTATGTAAGTATGATTATGCAGTAAGTGGTGGAAAAAATGCTAAATAGCAGGAGAATATATGAATATGGAAGGACAGAAGGTGTGCAGCGCATATTTACAGTGCTAAAATAATAGTCAGAACATAAAGGATTAAACAATATACCTATTCGTGTTGAAGGTTGCGTCAAACGAGATGACATCTCCAAACATTGCGTACTTCTTCCTAGCGATAGGATCGCACCAGAATACCCTAGTTAGCTGGTCACTCTCATCAACATCATAATAATAAAAATGGAATGCAGCGCATGTTTGTTTCTTTCTGAATAGTTTGTCAATGAGGATTTGAGCATCAGCGCCTGCAATGTATGCCTTTAGGTCTCGTTTGAAATTTTTAAAGTCAATTGCAGTGGCACCCACATTATTGTAGCCCCCAACTGATTCCTTAAACAATCTATATGACTTCATTGCACCAATGTTTGCCTTTGCACAATTCAACATAAACTTCTTGTGGCCAATTTCTAGATTTCTGTTTATTTTCATAAAGGGCCTATATGGAAGGGACAACATTCGATGGTTATGAGTTTCTATGAATGATGATATGGAGTATCCTACACCACCCACAAGCCTAAACACCACACGGGCCTTGCAATCAACACGATTTGAAATGCGTCTCCTCTGTTTTGCCTTTGGCGAGTCTCCATTGTGAATAGTGGGATTCTTAACAATTGATGCAAAATGTTTATGACCCTCGCGGTTGCATACAATGTACCGCCACACAACAACACCTGAAACCTTCAAATTAGTGCTTTTGCGAATATCAAAACCTGCCAGTGAAGCATATTGCTTGTAAAAATTGAATCCGTCCTCTAAGGTTTTGAACATCATTCCTACGTTAGGCTTCGACTCTTCAGGACAATAAGGAATAAATAAGTTGGATGAAGAAGAAATAATTTCTGTTGTATGGGGTGTGTCCTCATTTGGAGATGTAGATGTGCACACTACCAATAGAGACATATAATGGTTGATTAATGCACTACTTGAATATGATCATGCAATACATTCTACGCAAAAAAGCAAAATAAAGGGAATATATGAATATTTAACCAGAGAAGGGGTACAGTGCCCATAGTGCCAGAAAGGTGGTTGTTTAATACCCAAAAACACTAACAAGATAATTGCAAACGAAAGCAGATGCATTCTTGAAACGAAACTAGTGGAACCGATTTAGTGCAGCTGTGAGAAATGAGGAGGAAGAAATTAAAACGAGAACCTCAAATAACAAAACTACAAACAACCCCAATTTACACATGATTTCACAGCGAATGTAGAAGCATTCATGAATCCAACGAACTGCATTAGGCGAGCAAAAATCGAGATGATATTTACATAATTCTAACCAAAACGAAATAAAAAAACATACCTGGAACCATGATAAAAAACGATAAAGGAAGAGGAATCCCAAAATCGGACGATTGGGAGGTTTGTAAAATTAAGAGGTTGATAAATAAGGGAATTCATATCTGCAGAATTGATACGGATGAAATGGGGAAAGTGAATTCGATCGTGAGCGAGAAATCAGGGATGAGG